AGCTGCTTTATTGCTCCTGAAAGTCAACACAAAGACATTCTACATATTATAAATATCAAATTCATTTTTACATACCATAATCTAAAATATATATGCAGTCTTTTTGAATGAAGCATCTTATGTTCACCAAGGCTGAATTTATTTGCTCAAAAATATAGTAATATTGTGCAATATTATTACAATTTAAAATAACTGTTTTCTGTTTTTAATATATTTTAATATCTGTTGTTTTCAACAGATGTGCTGCTTAATATTTTTGTGGAAACTATGATATATTTTTCAGGATTTTTTGATTAATGGAAGTTTAAACAGTATTTGTTTGAAATGGAAATCTTTTATAACATAAATGTCTTTTACTGTCACTTTTGATCAATTTATTGCATTCTAGCTGAATGAAAATCTTACTGACCTTACTTACAAACTTTTAAACAGAAGAAACTCACAATTTAGAAACAATTTCAAGAATGCAAGCATGAACTTTTAGTTGAAAGGATTCATAAATCACGAGACATAAATTTAGTCAAGGGTCTCTAAAAATCTGACTGGTGCTATATTTTAAAAGCCATAAAATTGAAAGGAATCTAGCTCTCTTCTCCCTATGGCATACTAATGCTTTGATTGACAAGCACAAAAAAGGCGTAAAAGTGAATCTGTTGTCTGTGACACTGTTGTCATGGCATCAAGAGAGTTTGCAAGCTACCCATTAGTACACAGTAGTGTCTAAACCGTAGGAGAAAATGGCTTCCCACCTGTTGTTGGCAGTGAAATTGGCAGCCAGAGAGACGCCAGCTTCCCTCTTCTTCAGGCCTGTAGGAGAATCCATACTGCAAGTACTGTGAGAGCTGCTGGGCACAGGAAATGCTCTCGGCTGGTCATCCTAAAAGCAAGATATCAGTTTAAACCAATGCTACAGCAAGAGCAAGTAAAACCCTCATGATAACTTACCGCTGTTTAGAGCCTCCTGAGCTCATAAGTTTAAGATAATTTTCATAGCATGTCAATAAAATGAGCAAATGACCCTTACAAAAACTTATCATGGTGTCCTACATATAATTTACAAGTATAATAAGATCCGACAACCGCAATGACCGAAGATGAGTTACCAGGATGTTCCAGGTAGTATGGTCTTTGGATGTCTTGGAGAGGCTGGCTAGTTTTCTACGTCCATCAGAGCTGCTGTTGAACAGAGCCAGGAAATCTTCTGTGTGTCCTTCACTGCAATCAGACGCAGAGAGAGAAAGACAGGAAGGAAGGAAAGACAGAAAGGTCAGAGTATTACATACTAAACACACATGAGGAACATATAAACGCAACACTAGACCAATAATACCTAAGCTACCATTCAAAAGCTTGGGGTCTGAAAGATTTTTTTTGTTTTTGAAAGGAGGTCTCTTATGCTCACTAAGGCTGCGTTTATTTGAACAAAAATACAGTTAAAATGGTAATATTGTGAAATATTTGAAAAACCTGTTTTCAATTTTAATATTTTAAAATTTAATTGTTGTTATTATTAATCCGGTGATGGCAAAGCTACATTTTCAGCATCATTACTCCAGTCTTCAGTGTCACATGATCCTTCAGAAATCATTAGAATATGCCGATTTTCGTCCAACATTGACATTTCTTCCTATTGTCAATGTTGAAAACTGCTTTTTTATGAGATATATACATTTTAAGTATATTTGTGAATATATATAGTATGTACAGTAACTTTATAAAATGTCATTTTTTTATCAATTTAATGCATCCTTGCTAAATAAAAGTATTAATTTATTTAAAAAAAAAAAATCATACTCACCCCAAACTTTTGAATGGACTTTATGGAAAAATATATAGTGTCCATTGCACAGCTAGTACAGGACGAGTTACATGCTATAAATAAATACTTGTGGGATGCTTGTTCAAATGCATTTTAGAAATATTAGGAATACCTAGTCTGCGTTTCCCTTCTTTAAAACAAAAATAGAGGTAAATCCAGTGCATGACCTGAGATCTATCTCCAGTAAAACCAACCAGACTATTTTTTAGGCTAAACGTATCATATGAGCATATAAAAAAAAAAAAAAGTTTCCTTTTCGGAGGTGACAACAGCTGCACTGGGCTCACAGCAGAGGAATGCTTCAGCGGAGGCTGATTTTAAAGGGACAGATGTCCATAGGCATATGGCAATCGCATCCCTCCGCATTTAAATTGCATAAAACGTTTAACATGATGCTCACCCCTATGTCTGACCTACCGGCATCTGTGCTAGCAACTTCAGTATGTATATGTGAGTGTTTTCGGGGGTGTAAGGGGCACCTAGCGTCAGCTGGTCCAATGAAAAGCAACTCACGGAACTACATTCCTCCACGTTTCCTCTTTTTTAGCAATTCAGAAGGGAAGAGAGGTCACGGAATGACAGTTATTAAGCACCAGAGGGAAGGGGGAGGGGTATTTAGTTGTTCCTTCATTTAAACCCCCTTGTGGCATCCCAGGATGCAGTGGGACGGGAGGGCAGGACTGGCAGCTGCCGGACAAAAGAATTTCAGAATGCACACTTCTCCTTTCACTGCGTCCTCATTCGAGCGAAACCAGAGAACCCAGCCCCCTCTTGCTTGGCTTGTGCTGCAGCCGCCAGGCTACAATAGCTATTGTCTGGAAAAACCCTAAATCATTCAACCCCCAACTACTGCTGCTTTAAGGGTAAAAACCCTCAACTTCTACATTTTGGAGGTGATCAACCAAACCATACCACAGCTTGTGTGAAGGGAGTGCATGCAGGCATGTGTACTAGACATGTACGTGCACAAACATGCCATCATTACTTTTAAAAAGTCATATATGTTGAATAAGTTGTCAGCTAACCTCTCACTCCCATCCCTTGGGGATAGTTCATTCTCAAAGTCTGAATAGGACAGCTGGCACATGTTGATGAGTGAATCTCACAAAAACATTAATTTCATCCCAAAATCAAAAGAAGGAAATTATAATTATTTATAATATTTTACATAAAGACAATTTTAGGACCAAGATTGACAAAGGACCATTTAGGATAGAGATTTGATTTGAATTTATTTTTGCAATGGGACAATATTTTCATTATAATTAAACCTTTTCCACGACATTCTAATTTATTGAGATGCACCTGTACTACCATCTTCTGGATAATTACACAATCTTCTAGCCAGACTCACCAAAGTGTTTCGCTTCCCCCGGCCATCACTGGCCACAGACACAGATATGGATCGAGAGAAGTGTTTTCCAGGTGAAGCGCTGCTGGGTCTGCGGCCCACTGTGAGCAGAGAGCCAGTCAGGCCGAGGTCCAGAACATCTCCAGCTGCCCCTGTCTGGATGGATGCGGATGGACTGCGAGTTGTATGCATCTTAAAATGATGGACAGAAAAGAGGATTCATTCATAAAAACTGACAAATGCACAAGATGCAACCAACATGTGATGCTGGATAAAGTCAGGATTCCCACAACGTTTGACCAATGAATTTTCATGATTTTTCCAATTTCTAGATATTACCAAATAAGCATTTAAATTTAAAAAAATGTATATACATTAGATCTACACTGATTAAATATTTTACAGCTGAGCATAACTAGAAACACTTACATTCACTATACACATTTCCATCACTTTCCCAGCCCTGGAAATCTCAATGTTCCATTACATTTTCCAGGTTTTCCATGACCATAACAGATTCAAAGCATCCACACTTTCCATCATACATCAAACACCTAAATAGTTTACAATATTCTTTATGTATACTGAAAATAATCTATATATAACAGAAGATATATAAAAAATCGTGATTTAATAGTCTAGGTCTTTCTATCATGATAATCTACAGTTCAAACATACAAAAACAAAGACATTTAACACCAAAGGCCTCCTCCGGTCTCGGCACAAACCTGATGAAGGTCAATACGCAATACACTGCCTTTGAGAAATATGCAAAAACATAAACATATATGTTTAACTGAATAGTTGCTGTATACTACCACAGGATTGCACTGGTTCAGCTATGGCGAAACTGTCTTTCTTGCAGCACTTCTTGCTGGCTTCACATGTTAAACACGATGAATACAGCAGGATTAAACTGTCAATCCATTGCTTACCTTCTCTAAATTGTCCACATCAGATGAAGAACCTGTCTTTATTAAAATAAGAGTGTCGTTATTCCCGTTCGGAGCGTAAGACAGTGATTTCTCATCTGTCTCCAACTCCACAGCGCAACATCTTCTCATTGGAAACCAGAAAACACACAGGAGCTCCGCCCATTGAGAGTTTTGATTGGTGGAGCGCGGAGCGTTCTAGTGATCTGATTGGCTGTTTGTGTGTGTCTTTCGGATGGATGGCTGAAAGAGGCGTGAAGATAAGGCAAGGTTGGTAAGCGTGCTGCACCGGCGGCAGATGTGGCGTCAATTTGAGCTACTCTGCTAAATTCTTGTGTAAGGGTTTAAAAGGTGACATACTAATTAAAAGCACAATTGGCAAAAGTTCATTTATATGACTAAATGTTGTATTTTATAAAATCATTTTCATTTACTTTTGAGATTATAAGCAAAAATAACTATTAATTTTAGTTTCTGGCACAATTTTACAATGCTACTAAATAATTGGATAGGTTTTCAGGTATTTTGTAACAATGTAAATGCACTGTTGATCAATAATACAACTTTATTTGGCCCTGATTAATAGCGTGGAGCATTACATGCGACAAATGTGTTACAGCAATACAGTATTGTTTAATTAATTCTTGTTCCCTGAATCAAAAATGCATACAAATCTCTAAACAATAAAGTGCTCCACAATATGAAGACATATTCAAAGCCCTAAAGAGTAAACATAGATTATTTTTTAATCAACTGGATTAACAATATAAAGACAAAGATTTAGTGTGTTGGAATGAGTCATAAATCTGTACTATACAAAAGACATGACAAAGGCACCAACATCTGACAAAAAATCAAAATCAAAGCAGTCCAGATCTTTTCACATTTGTATTATTCATTTTGGTCTGGCTTATTCAGAAGTACTTTTCAGTGTTTGAACTCCACTGCAAGCCTCCAGATTTCTGCAGCTTTAGCCAAAGTAATTTCCTCTGGAAGACTGTCTAGACCTGGAAAAGAGGTGATGTTCTTCATCTCCAAATGGGATTCCATGGTGGACCTGATGCTATGTTGTGAAACACACACAGAGAGAGAGAGAGAGAGAGAGAGAGAGGAGGAAGGGTGTTCAGTGGTGTGGTTTAAGATCAACAGTTAGCATTGGATTCTATTGTTCTCAGCAGACGCATTCCTTTTCATTCTGACCAGCTGCCTGCTCAGTAGGTGACCAGAGCAGGGCACACTGACAGATGGGAGCCTGGAGGGGTCAAAGTGTGCCTCTGTTGGGTCTGAAAGCCCACAGGTCTCCAGGGAATGACTAGGTCCGGGAGGTCTGCATTGTTGTGATTGAAAGTCCCCTTTCTGAGTAAAAACTTAAAAGGCCCTTATGTCGCTTTGTGTTGAAGTACTTGGTACTAAATGCTATAGGATCTTTTTAGATGTATTTGTTTGGATGCCAGGACATTTCCTGACTTTTTATTTTAAGAACAATTACCCTGAACAATTTGACATTTAATTGTACAACATTCAGGATTGGATCAATGTTTACAATCACAAACCAGATTTCAAAAGTTATACGTTTCATTATAATTCAGTTTAAAAATGAATTACTATACAGTTATTTAAAATACTTGACTGGAATTTTGCTGTATATTTTTCTATAATGTTTGTCATATAACTCTTATTTAATTTTCAAATCAGTATTTCATGTCCATTTATTTATTTGTTTGATAATTAGCTGATGACACTGTGAAGGTTTGAAGGTATTTTGTGATAACGACTGACTGACATCACATTCTACCTTTTAAACTTTACATTTAAAAAGTCAGATGTCAAACATCTGTGAAAAATGGTCAGGCCTACTTTGCCTTTTGTGGCCAGTTTGCCTCATCAAAACCCACCCTCACAAATGGTCCAGAAGGCTGCAATCCAGACGGCTGGAATGCTGGATAAATTATATAAAAATATTAAAAAAATAAGATCAGTTCTTACTCCCAGTGCGGAGCGAAGCCCTCTTCAACAGTGCTGTTGGTCTTGAGCTGAAGGATTTCATGTAGCTCCAAAGAGAAAAGGTCAGTATCTGTGAGCCCAAGGAAAACCTTCACCTGCATTCTTTCCTCTGAAGTCAGTTTATCTCTGAAGCCTTTGGACAGTCGCTGGAATGGATCCTGCAAAATTGTGCATTGAAAGATTTAAAGTAAATGACAGAAATCAGAATATACCTGACCAATAAAGATGCAAACATCATGAATATGTTCTGGGATGACGTTTAAACGATGTCTTAACGTATTATTTAACCGAGCAATATTGTCCAGCTATTCAGAAAAGCTTGGGTTAAAAGTCTTTGAACTGTTGGTGGCACACGCTCTCTTGTTAAAGCTTGGCACACTCTGACCAACACTTTCCCTTGGATTTACAACCCTCGTATATGTCCACTCTCTCTGTTGTTTAGGATCAATCAGAGGAGGTCAACAGAGGTCAGCAGTAATGGGGTCAGTTTAGTGACAGGCTAAATAGCTGAACAGAAGGAGGGAATTAGAAATTAGCTGCCTGTACAAGGAATGCTCTGTGAAAACATTTATTCTGTCTTAAGTTATTCATGCATACACTACCATTCAAAAGTTTGCGGTAAGTAAGATTATTATTATTTTTTTTTTATGTTTTGGAAAGAAGTCTTTTATGCTCATCAAGGCTGAATTTATTTGATCAAAAATACAATAAAAACAATGAAATATTGTGAAACGGTAATATTGTAAAATATTATTATTATTTAAAAGAACTATTTTCTATATTTTAAATGGTAATTGATTCCTGCAATCGCAAAGCTGAATTTTTAGCAGTCATTACTCCATTCTTCAGTAACACAAAATCTTTCAGAAGTGATTTGAATATGCTGATTTTGTGCTTAATTAATTTTTTTTTATTATCAATGTTGAAAAACAGTGCTGCTTAATATTTTTTTTGTGGAAACCATGATGCAGTTTTATCAGTATTTTTTTATTTATTTAATTTTTCAAAAGATAAACATTTATTTGAAATAGAAATCTTTTGTAACATAAATGTCTTAACTGTCACTTTCATAATAATTGAATGTTTTCTTGCTGAATAAATAATAATGAAGCATGCATCCTATAGGCTCAATGTAAAATTAAGTAGAGTCTAGTGAGAGAAGAAGAAAACAAATCCTAGAAATTGGAATGTAATTACTTAAGAGTTTAGATACATAGATACTATGTGATTGGTATTAATGATACACAGTACTATATGTCACAAAAGCTGAATGTCAAATTACCTGTCCTTTCCTCATCATCTGTTCACTCTTCCAGCAGGTAAGGAGCTGCCATGTGGCTGTGCACTGACTAAGCCGGTTCTCTTTTAAAGCCTGAAACCAAGCAGCGTGGAATCAAATTACAGAAGCAGACAGATTATATACGCTGATAGTAGTGGCAAAATAGCTGCTTGATTAAATTCGCTTTTAGTTGCTACTCTAAACACATGCCTCACCCCAGCTATGGTGCTTGAGATGTGTTGGTCCATTTTCAAGGAGTCTGTCAGATAGGACAGCAGCAGAACTTGTGGGTCTCCACCGGTTTTACCTAGGAAACGAAGCCCAATCTCCACAGCACAAACTGCGTCACACACATCAGTGAATGAACGTAGCATTGATCTCATGGAGCTGAGCACAGAGGCCTTGAGTGCTTCCTGTAAATCAGAAAGAAAAAATGAGGCTTCCTTAAGAAGAAAATGTATTCAATTGAATAAATATATATTTATAAATAATTAGAGATTATATTTCTACTGTATGTCACCAATAAACAAGAAGCATTTGCTCCACCGAGACCTACTGTCAGTAAACTGAACGAAGTGCAAAGACACTGAAGAAAATTACCTGAGGCATTTTGGCTCTGACTTCATTGAGGACTTCTATAAAATTCTGATGGTGTCTTCTTAGATATTTATCAGTGTCCTGCATGACATTTTTAATTATGAGTTCCCACTGTAGTAACTAATGAATCTGGTCATATATTTAACACTAGTATGATAATAAGTTTTAAAATGTGTAGACTCACTGTTTGAATGCGTGGTTTGCCTGCAAAAAATCGTCTGCTGAGTTCTCTCTCAATAGCCTTATGATCATTGGAGCTCACTGTTTGCTGACCCTTCTCTAGTTTGTAATGGCAGTTAGCTAACACCAGGGGAAGCAACTCCTTCTCTGGGTGACACAGGGCAAGTTGGCTCTTGGACAGTGCTGCCAATGGCACTTTATAGTCACTGTAAGAGGAAATGCAACCATCTGACATGCAAACAATTTTGAAACACAAATGTGGCAGTAAAGACATTTATAATGTTACAAAAAAACTATTTCAAATAAATACTTTTCCTTTGATATTTTTATTCAAAGAATTATCATATGGTTTCCACAAAAATATTAAGCAGCACCATTTTTAAACTGTGATAATAAGAAATATTATATTAGATATTTGAATGATTTCTGGAGTAATGGCTGCTGAAAATTCAGCTTTGCATCACAGGAATAAATTACATTATAAAATATATTAAAATAGAAAATAGTTATTTTAAACTGCAATACTTCACAATATTACTGTATTTTTGATCAAATTCTAACTTGGTGAGCATAAGAGACTTAAAACAATAATCTTACCAACCCCAACATTTTGAACAATAGTGTATACTCCTATTGAAATACACACCTGTCTTCCTGGTGACAGAGTTTTCTGGCTTCTCGCACAAGACTGTTGTGAGTCTCAGACAGAAGATCTACGATTGCATGGAGACATGAGCCTGGTCCGTGACGACTCAACGAGAGAAACTGCCCAGAGCTTTCCTTAGTTATGTCTTTTTCACAAAGTGTAGGATCCAAACCCAAAGAAGCTAAAATAATGAAACAATATCACTATAATGTAATGTTATAATGACTAAACTCACTTGTATTATTTAACCTTTTTAATTTAGTTTTAAGAGTTTTTTTATTTAATCAGTATAGAATTTTAAATATTGTCCATTTAGCGGTTTACAATGGCCCATTTAATAATTATCACGGACTCACATGAAACACATAATGATAAACCCTGAATGAACTGCAAGTTGTTTTGGATAAAACATCTTGCAAATTCCACATGTATACCTCTACCAACTTACCGTTATTGGATATTTCCATTCTGAGTTGGTTCCACACCTTCATGAAGATCTCTACTCTTTCCGACAATAATTTCCTCTGATGGCCTATTTTCAGTAACATAAATTAGAGTAAAGTGATATTACATATATACAAAAATAAATCAACTAGTTATCTCCAGTGAGTATAAGTTTGACAGACCAGCAGGAATGCATTGCAGCAGTGAAGCGATGGTGTGGGTCTGGTTCTCAGAGCCTGGAGGAAGCACTTTTATTAGATCCGACAACAGAGCAGCAAGTGCCGGCAAATGGATCAACTGTCTTATGCAGTGCACCTGATAAACACAATCACACACATATGGATATACTGTAAGTTTGGGAACATGCTTAAAGTCAATATGAAACCATGTGCTCAACTTCCGTAATGTGACACAAAGGCCTTTATAATTGTTTTATATGCTTTAAGTGAACGAACCTTATTGATAAAAAGGGTGAGCAGGGGTGCTTGACTCTGGTTTATTTGCTGTGAGAAGCTTTCCACCGTTAGGACAGGAGAGGGGCTCCAGAAGGCAGAGTGGTGGGTGGGGCAGTTAGTGGGGAGATGAAGGCTTTTTTGAGGGTCTCCCCTCAGCACCCTCATCAGGGGACTGTTAGAAAGTTGGTTATCAGCTGCAATCAGATCCTGTGCTCTGCCCAATGTCCTTTCCAAATCCTAAAAAAAGAGACAAAGGTTGACTGATGCAATTATATGCATTCAGTGTGGTTATATGACTGAATTTTTACTTATTTGTGTTTTTCAAAGAAACAATTTAAATGTATCCCATTCTTTTCAAATGGTTCACACACTCCTGATATTCAGCAGTATCAAGACTGACCTGTAAAACAGGACTGATGACAGTTTTACAGACTGTGGTCTCCCACTGCTCTCTGTACTTGCGTGTTGACAGACCCACACCGGCACCTGGCGGAGAGAAAAAAATATCAAACATAGGTTTTCTGGTTGTGCAGTTCATTGTGTTGTTGTTACGGTTAACTTAAACTAAACAAAAAATTATTTTCAGTCATTAAAAAGCTGAAATATAATAAAATGTTAATATTCAATGAAAAACAAGCAAATATAGGACATTTTGCTGTGGCAACTCACTGAAATAAACATGTTTAAGTTGAAGTACTAAAATTACTATAACAAAAAAATGGAATACAGTAAATTAAAAGCTATATAAATATTAAAAAAAGAAAGAAAGGGCAAAAGCATGTAGCAAAATTACATAATAATAAAAAAAGATAATTCAAAATATTTATAAATACCACAACAGTATATAAAAATACTAAAATAATTAATTCTGTTCACATGTTATGCTCTTCTCTGTTAATATTATATAAGTAAAATGCATGCAACACTATGAAAAGTTCAAGCAGGTTTAAGTTTAGTCAAGATTAAAGGATACCTGAGGTGGTCTGTAGAAACCTGCTGAAGATTAGATGAATTATAATGGCAGAGTCATCCAAGTTAAGATTTAAAGTCTTTCCAAGGACCTCCATGTCCTTCTCAAGATGTTGCCAGAGGAAATCATAGACATCATTAACATTTGGATGGATCATATCTCTGATGCCCTGTGAAAAACCAAGCCCTTTAGAAAACAGTGCTTTTATTCTCTTACACTAGTGTCCCACTAACTGAATTTCAGTAGTTGGCATTATATAGATAAAACTAATGGAGTTGGCATGCAAGCTTTATCAGCAGGTAATAAGCAAACTTTCAGGGTTCCTTCAAACCTTTTTACCTGTTGGTGGTGAATGGCCCCTTGCAACATGGCCAGGTGAAGACAGAGACGGAGGAGACAGGACTGTGCTGAAGTGTGATTCCTGTTTGGGGCTTCAGACCGGTTTTCAGCATGTCCCAGTATATGTCCAGGTCGTGTCATGTCAGGGATTCCATGAGCTTCAATAAAACCTGCAACTGGTTTATGATTCTGGCCTCCTATACGGACTCCACAAGTGGCACAATTTGACAATTTCATTGGTTTGCCACACTAAATAAGTGGAGAAAAATCAACGATCATAATCAGTTTCACAGAAAATAATGCCAGTTCATTCAAATAAAAGTGAAAGAAAATAAATCTCACCTCTCCTACAAAGCATGCATGTTTGTTAGAACACACTGTAAAGTAGGGAAGAAAGACCAAATCTGTTATGCAGGTGAAATTTAAGGAAATATTTTTATTTTCACTTCATGCACAAGTCACACTCACAGTACATCTTCAGGTTTTCCTCTCCAGTGAGCCACTGCTGGGCCTCACTGGTATGGTCATCAGGCATTGTGGGTAGGAAGGCTCCCTAAGGATGAGTAGAGAAACATAGCTATTTTAAAAATCAGCACGATCAATTCAAAACCCCCAGCGCATCAACATAATGCAAAATGAAGAGTGTGAGCATAAAATCAAATGCAAATCAGTCTAAACCAGGGGTCTCCAAACTCAGTGCTGGATGGCCGGTGTCCTGCAGAGTTTATCTCCAACCCTAATTAAACACACCTGAACCAGCTAATCAAGGTCTTACTAGGCATTCTAGAAACTTCCAGGGAGGTGTGTTGAGGCAAGTTGGAGCTAAACTCTGCAGGAGGACACCATCCTTCCAGGACCGAGTTTGGAGACCCCTGCTCTAAATTCACTCCAAAAATGTGTATTATTCATTAAGAAGCCCTTACTGTCATGTTCTGAGTTTGAGAGGCAATATTGAAGAGGGGAGTCAGCAGCCTGTTCCCACTGTAAAACACTGCGCTCGCATGCACCAGGAGCTCCAGTACAGGACGACGCTTAGCAGGTACACCTGCACTGAGACTCAGGTAAGATCCTGGACCTCCAATCTCATTGGATAACAGAGCAGTGCGAAGATTAGATGAATTATAATGGCAGAGTCATCCAAGTTAAGATTTAAAGTCTTTCCAAGGACCTCCATGTCCTTCTCAAGATGTTGCCAGAGGAAATCATAGACATCATTAACATTTGGATGGATCATATCTCTGATGCCCTGTGAAAAACCAAGCCCTTTAGAAAACAGTGCTTTTATTCTCTTACACTAGTGTCCCACTAACTGAATTTCAGTAGTTGGCATTATATAGATAAAACTAATGGAGTTGGCATGCAAGCTTTATCAGCAGGTAATAAGCAAACTTTCAGGGTTCCTTCAAACCTTTTTACCTGTTGGTGGTGAATGGCCCCTTGCAACATGGCCAGGTGAAGACAGAGACGGAGGAGACAGGACTGTGCTGAAGTGTGATTCCTGTTTGGGGCTTCAGACCGGTTTTCAGCATGTCCCAGTATATGTCCAGGTCGTGTCATGTCAGGGATTCCATGAGCTTCAATAAAACCTGCAACTGGTTTATGATTCTGGCCTCCTATACGGACTCCACAAGTGGCACAATTTGACAATTTCATTGGTTTGCCACACTAAATAAGTGGAGAAAAATCAACGATCATAATCAGTTTCACAGAAAATAATGCCAGTTCATTCAAATAAAAGTGAAAGAAAATAAATCTCACCTCTCCTACAAAGCATGCATGTTTGTTAGAACACACTGTAAAGTAGGGAAGAAAGACCAAATCTGTTATGCAGGTGAAATTTAAGGAAATATTTTTATTTTCACTTCATGCACAAGTCACACTCACAGTACATCTTCAGGTTTTCCTCTCCAGTGAGCCACTGCTGGGCCTCACTGGTATGGTCATCAGGCATTGTGGGTAGGAAGGCTCCCTAAGGATGAGTAGAGAAACATAGCTATTTTAAAAATCAGCACGATCAATTCAAAACCCCCAGCGCATCAACATAATGCAAAATGAAGAGTGTGAGCATAAAATCAAATGCAAATCAGTCTAAACCAGGGGTCTCCAAACTCAGTGCTGGATGGCCGGTGTCCTGCAGAGTTTATCTCCAACCCTAATTAAACACACCTGAACCAGCTAATCAAGGTCTTACTAGGCATTCTAGAAACTTCCAGGGAGGTGTGTTGAGGCAAGTTGGAGCTAAACTCTGCAGGAGGACACCATCCTTCCAGGACCGAGTTTGGAGACCCCTGCTCTAAATTCACTCCAAAAATGTGTATTATTCATTAAGAAGCCCTTACTGTCATGTTCTGAGTTTGAGAGGCAATATTGAAGAGGGGAGTCAGCAGCCTGTTCCCACTGTAAAACACTGCGCTCGCATGCACCAGGAGCTCCAGTACAGGACGACGCTTAGCAGGTACACCTGCACTGAGACTCAGGTAAGATCCTGGACCTCCAATCTCATTGGATAACAGAGCAGTGCAGAGCTCTCTGGCATGTCCTGTGATGTTTTCTCTAATAACGTCCTCCAAGAGTCTGATCTGTTGAGAAAGAGAAAAATGTAGGTGTTTAGGTCTGCCAGGCTGAGTGCTTTGCCTAATTTTCTGAATCTCATAAAGTAAAAGCATTTATGCTCAAACATGTTACTATTGCAGGTTGGATGAAGTTCTGATGGAGATCAGAACAATACTTATGTGAATTAAATATTTATAAATATGTAAAACTATGTTGTCATCTCAAATTTAGTCCTACACGGATTCTGAATTCTGGATGTTCACTAGTGATTAATAAAATCATAAAACCTAACCAACTCTTACCTGTGCCTGAGGATATATAGCTCTTTCAGGTGACATGAAGCGACAGGTGACCTGCCTGAACACAGCTAGAGTCAGCAGGACATTTTTCAAAGGGCCTGAACCACTTGTTGCCTGAAAAAAAAATCATTAATGGATCAAATGTGACAGTAACATTTCTATTTCAAATATATGCTGTTATTTTGGACTTTCTATTCATCAAAGAAAAAACAAACAAACATATCACAGTTTCCATTAGGGGTGGGCGATATGCCAAAAATATCATATCACAATTCTTTTCTGAAAAACCCCAATTCACGATTTTATCACAATTCTTTGTCATGTTGCTTTTACTATTTTGCAAGTAGTCTAAAAACAAACCTTACAAGGTAACAAAATATAAAATAAAAAAAGATTGGCGGACATCTAGGCCAAAGTGGGCGAAGATAAAAATCTTTGTCATTATTTTAACTTTGTTATTAAAAAATAAGAACAAAGACAGACATTACAAATACACATAATATACAAATAAAACAAGCAGTGCTTAATTTTTCAGTCACAGTAGGTATATTTAGCAGTAGCATTCAATAAACTGAATGAACAAATATAAAAATAAAGCATATATTCTTCACTGTATAAATTATACATTGATTCTTAGTAAAGCAACTGTATTAATGTTCATCAGTCAAGTGATTATTCTCTTTGTTTTGTTGTTTTATTAACATTAAATGAGATGAGTTAAATGAGTTCACCCAAAAATTAAAATTTGTTGTTTTAAACTTGAAAGAGTTTTTTTTTCGGTTGAACATAAAAGTTATTTTCAAGACTGTTGGCAACCAAACGGTTATTGGACTCCAGTGGCTTCCATAGTATTTTTTTTCCTACTATCAAAGTCAATGGGGACAATTGTTTGGTAACCCACATGCTCAGGCTCAGCACAAGAAAGAAATTAAAACAGGTTTGGGACAACATGATTTCAGACATGAAAGATAACTTAGTCCAGTAATCAGGCGTTGTTTGATGGGCTTTTTAGTGCGTGCGCTTCAGGTATATGCACTCAGAAAAGGTGCATGTCAGAACAGCACACGAATGAAATGTTTAACCGGCATGGCTTTAAAGCACATGGAAATAATGTACTTTTGTGATTGCGAATAAATGCAGTGTCCTGTGAGTGTAACTCTGCCGCTGAGTTAACATTTGATGTGAATGTATGTCATGTTGTACAGTATATTGAGACAGAAGCACCAGAACTGCAACTGAATGTGCGCTGTAGCACGATACTACGATATTTCTTCAAAAGCAGATGGTGGAGACAATTTAATCATTCACGATCAAAAATCGTGAGTTACAGTTTCCATAAAAATGTTAAGCGGCACAACTGTTTTCAACATTGATACTAATAAAAAAAATTTCTTAAGGACCAAATCAGTACATTAGAATGAATTCTGGATCATATGACACTAAAGACTGAAGTAATGGCTGCTGAAAATTCAGTTTTTGTGTGTGTGTTGTTTATTTAATACAGATGTAGACTCTGACCCGTAGTGCTTCTTTGAGGCCATTTGTTGTGCCTTCTTGCATTGCTTCTCCCACTCCATCTCTAAGAGTACGGTATGACTGACCACAACACAAGAAACGATCCACCTCTGCAGGAATCAACCTCTGTAGAAGAGAAAACAAACAACAATGATCATAGAGCAGCTACTTTTTATTAAAAAAAAATATTTTTTTAACCCACAAACTCAATTTTATAAATTATCTACAATATTATAAACATCCTAAACACAACATCATTTGAATGGCCGTACATGAAGCCGTAGCATCTTTGCAGGGAAGATCCATTCATAATCAGTGCTGCTGGTCAGTGCTTGCAGACAGTCCATGCCAGCATGCCTGTTGAGTGCTCGAAGCAAGTAAACTCTGTACCAGTCATTGTTACCATATTCACACACAGCCTTCACCTGCTCCAAAAGCTTTAGCTCAGCTTCCTCAAAATTGTCTAAAAGACACCAAACATATGGAAAGGTTGCAGAATAAAACATAAAAGACATGTTATTAATTTAAGCAATATACTGTAACTGCCATGAATTGGTCAGACCAGAAGCTCCTCGTACCAGTTCTTTTGCCGATAATTCTGGACAGGATACAGGCAGCAGAGTCCAGACACATTCTGAGGTGAGCCATAGACAGCAGAAACTCAGCTGGGTCGTTCTGTCTGGAAGGTGTCTGTTTACGAGCCAGTCGGCTAAGGAAGTTTGAATTCTCCTTCAGATGTCTATCATCTCCATTTAATCCAGAACAAAACAGGGAATCCTGGATAAACAACAAATCTGCTTTTAGAAACAAACATGCAAATTTGAAATAATAATTCATGTGGCTGAAAGTGGAATACAACTGTTGATGATTATACCTCGTAAAAAATGACAAAAGTTTGTAGTGCATTGCTAAGCATTTGCTAAGATACTTTGGACGGTGGCTAAGATCTTGCTAGGTACTTGCTTAATGGCCCAAAACAAAAGTCTCGCCGTATGGCTAGGAATCATGGGATCTTTCACCCCTTTTTTGTCCACCAGACAAAAATCCTAAGTATAATCACACTTGATGTACCATTCATGTCTGTGGTACAAAATGGGTTAAGCGCCAAAGTTTTGTACTTAAAACAGCGCAATAGTAAAAGTGATACTTGGCTCAGCAAGCACTATTATTGAGTGAATACATGGTGCAAAGACGCCTGGGCTACTTGATTATGACACACCTGGAAACAGTTAACAAAGAGCCGGTAGAGTTCAGATCTGTCCTCTTGGTCCAGAAGCTTGTTCTCCAGGTTTTCTACGTGCTTTTGTATATGCTTCTTTACCTGTTTGAAGCTGAAGAGATTATCTTATTACAAAATGTTCTTGATTGGCATAAAGGCCAATTCACACTGCACCGACAGATGCCTGTAATCTGACAAAAGCCAACTGAACATGTTCAATTGCCTATAACAAGTGCCAACCAATGTCAACAGACGTGACAAACCCCAACGAAGTGTCTGTTGCCATTGGTCAGCGTCTGTCGGTGCAATGTGAATTAGCCTTAAGCAAAACTCTCAAAACTCACTTCATAAAGCCAATACTGCATATTTAAAGTCATAAACAAAAGGTCACATGCCTGGATGTGGTAATGTGTGTGTATGTGTTGTCTGTATTGCAGCACCTGTATTGCAGAAGAAGTTTCGGCAGCACAGAGCGCACCACAGGGCTCTGGTCAACACACTCCAGGAATGGGGTGAGCTCTCTGGTCTTATAAACATCTCCTGTAATATATACAGACATGTAAACATAAACATAAAAAGCAAATTATAGAGTAAATTGCTCTTTCTAGATCTTTTCAATTCGATTATTAGATAATTAGATTGAATGATTCGCTCTCAAACTCGATGATCTGTTCAATGCAGATTATTATGACTTAAATTTTGGCCTGTTCGTCCCACTAAGCTATTGTATGATTTCAGAAGACTTGAAATATAGAATGCAAGTCGCATGAACCACTGATGTGATATTTTAATTCTAAATGTACGTCCTTTTTGAAATTCCTGTTCTCATTTATTGTAATTGCACTGAAATTGACAACCATGTACAGAAATTTCATTTCGCGATGAAATATTCCACAAGGAAATCCACCCGCCTTGTGCTGAAATAAGGAGAGAGAAAAGCAGTTCCACCAGGTCCTCTGATGGATCTTGATCATCAGTCAGACAGAAACGAGAAACCAACTCCAGGAAAAAGGCATTACAGCATTTTCTTATTTCTTTATGCTGCTTCAGGTCTAAGCTGTAATAGATACAAAATTAGACATTACAGCCAAACAAATCAACCACAGTAAAGAAGCTAATTGTTCATTGTACACCCATTCGGTCTAAATGGATATCTGAAGTTACCAAGAACAAAGAATTGAACTCACTCTATAGCTGTGGAGACAGTGGGACGGTAGTTGTTCGACAGAGGTGATCTGCATATGGGACAGAAGTCCGCTCCTTCTCTCTCTGTAGATCTTCTCAGACAGGACAGACAAAACACATGCTCACAAGGAAGCGCAGCGGGCTCTGACAGATCTGATAGACAGACAAAGCACTTCACACCATATCTGTGAAGAAAAAGTATACAGAAAATGAGTAAGTAATCAAAGGGTTTATTGTTGGAATAGCACAAGCTAAACAAAGAAATACTGAAATCCTTAACTATCATTAATATTTATAAAACAGTACCGTCAACAACAAAAAAAACATTCAATTATTCTTAGTCAATAAACTGCAGTTTTAAAATAAAATTAATATTATCACATGGTTTAAAATAAAATCAATCATATCCTATAATATTATACAGCTCAATTCAAGTATACCGCAGTTCTCTGCTGATGGATTCCTCGTGAAAATCATTGAGTATGCGGATGATTTGCTGAAGATTGTCTTTGCTCCTCAAATCAGTAGACCGTTCCATTAGCTGTGAGAGAGGAAATATAAGCAGCATGTATTCTAAGGACTTTTGGGGTTTTAAACTCATACTTGCTTTAATGCAGCATCTATCCTGATCAAATTTGCACATATTTTACCATCATACTATAGTCTCATTATGAAATGAGGGGCCTACAAAGGTTTCCTGTACACCAATGTCTCCTACAAATGTAATGAACAGAGCAGACAAAAATTCGAGACTCACCCCATGTAACTGACTGCAGAGTTTCAGAGTCAGTGCTTTAATCCGTTCATCTCCCACTTTCATCTTGATGACCACCTTTTCAATGAAAGCAGCCACTAGCAGCATCCCCTGCCACACCGACCTAAGGAAATAAAAGATTTGTGTAAGAAATTATGTGATATGACCATTTTGTTAATATGAAATCATGTTTTCAAATGATTCTATTTTCTAAATCTGCAACATTCTTCATAGCTCACTTTATAGAGTCCAGGTGTTTGAGACAGCCATGGCTGCAGAGGGCACTGTAGACAGGACTAAGCACTCTCTCTAAACATGGCTGAAGTTGCTCAACTCTTTGCAAGAAGGTCTGGCATTCAGATATTGATGATACTGGTAGAAGCTTTGTTTCTTCAACACAGATACCAACAGCTAGAATGTCCTCACACTGTCATAAAACAGAACAAGAAGACAAATCTCTTTAAACTCATCTAAATATTGTTTCATTAGTATGTTGTTTATTTGCATCCCCATTAGCTTCCACAAAGTGGTTGCTAATCTTCCTGGGGTCCACAAATCTGTACAAAATGTGTATAAATGAAGTATGGAGTATAATGACTGCACATACTGGTCACTTATTTACTTGTAGTTATTTTGCTACATAACTGTAGTTTAAATAGGCACTGGAATCTATCACCAGCATGTGATGACTAACTAAAAAGTTTTACTGGTGAACTGCATAAGACTGAAATAAGTCATTCTAAATCAACATGGAAATTCATGTTGCACTCCTGCTCCTCACCATATCAGGGCTCTCTCTCTTTAATCTTTCTTGTTGGATGATGCAGACCAGTTGAGGGTTGACCTGAAGGGCATGGGCTAATGTGTCCAGGCGTGGGCTGTAGATTTGAGCTGCGGCAAGGATCCATGATGGAGAGAGCTCAGGAGTTACTGACATCTCCATCTGCAGAGCAAACACACAACCCCGCACTGCACAACAAAATACCTGTAAGAAAATGCACACACACCCATAGACACCCACATTAGAACACTAAACATGAGATTGTGAAAATAAATGTTCAGACTGATAAAACCTATCTATCTTACCCCATGCTCTTCCTCAGAGTGGATTTTGAATGAAAGAAGGACATAATCGGTCAAGTAGCGTTGACCCAACTCGACTTTCTCTTCCTCTGAGAGTTTCTGAATATAGCTGCCCAGTCCACTGGCTGATACAGCACTAACAAACTGCTGAATCCTCACATTGCTGCCTTGCTCAGAGCCTGAGAGAAAATGCAAAAACATGGAGTAGCTGCAGATGTTTTATGTACAAGATGTTTTATGTACAAGAAGTGAATGTAGTATCTGGTTAGCTAACTGGCCAACTGTAGTCAAACACAAAACAAAAGACCTCACCTCGTACAAATTCTGATTCCTCCCACAAACTCTGGCAGTATGTTTTTATCAGCCAGCTAAAAGGGGCAGCACAAGGCCATTCTACTTCTCCAATAAACAGGTGACACTGCACATTAATCTCCTGATCTGGAGCGCTAAGAAAATAAATCCATCTTATCAGTTACAGTTGGATATTTAAAAGCATTTAATTCCTCATTTAATCATAAGCAGGTTTCATATATTTAAAGATACCTGGCATTTTGTGAAAGGTTTAGGTCAAGGAGCTGTTGATCTTCAAAGATATTCAGCCAGAACTGGGCCAGACCCTCACTGAGCCCTTCTCCATACAGTAGGTACAAGTTGCGGTCTCTGTCCAACACTTCTAAAACTCGGGCAAACACTGGGGTCAAAACACCCTGTAGGTTGCGCCACAAAGTGTGCCTGAACAAACACAGAAATGTTTTGCTAGCTTGTTAGTCATCTCTAATCTACGGCTGATGAAGTTTGAGATTATTTTAAAGGCCTTGTGTAAGGCTTACAAATAACAGTTCTGTAATTTTATTCCCAGTTCAAAGTAGTTCCACACCATTATTTTTTCCACACAAGTTTTAATTATCTGAGATTTTTATCCGACCCTTTTTCATTAACATAATAAAATCTGCACTAAGCACTGGCTGTTTTTAAACATCTGAGATAGATAGAGATAATAGGTTGTTAATGCTAGTTGCATTACAGTACTGGAGTACCTAAGTGTTCCACCTTCCTGCAGAGCTTCACGGTTCTTTGCCACTTTATAAACCCAGTCTTCTGCATTAGGAATTATTTCCTCCTTCTGCATCAGTGCGAACACCAGCCTCCTTAGCAACACTTTCTGGAACCGTACTTAAAATACAAATGCACAAACATTTTTTCAATGGTATTTTACATACACAGTACAGGGGCTTAATTGTGACAACAATTGACATAAAACCAGCTGACCTCCTATCCGCCCAGGGTCACCTCTCAGAAGGCCAAGCAATATGTTCATGCGCTCCATACTCCTGGAGGTTTTTTTGCCTGTATCTCTCAGCAATGAAACAGCTTTCTGGGTGCAGGATCTCAATAGAGACAAACTGTGTAGATGCACTAAATCTCCCTGACAACCAATCAAACACAGTATTTCTGTCAGGAGGTATGAAATTATTTTTGATATAGCACATCTCTGATGTATATGTTTAAACCAATCTATTGTGAGCGTAAAGGATTTTACCCTCTCACTTTCTGGTCCACTTGTATCCATTTCCTCAGATTCATTGAAATCTGTATATATATATATAGATAAAAAAAAATTTAATTCATGAAGAAAATGTGAGTTGTGCTTGTAAAGTTTACAACTACAATACATGGTGTTGCTAGGGTGTTCTAGGTATTTGTCAAGGAGCTGTTGATCTTCAAAGATATCTAGCCAGAACTGGGCCAGACCCTCACTGAGCCCTTCTCCATACAGTAGGTACAAGTTGCGGTCTCTGTCCAACACTTCTAAAACTCGGGCAAACACTGGGGTCAAAACACCCTGTAGGTTGCGCCACAAAGTGTGCCTGAACAAACACAGAAATGTTTTGCTAGCTTGTTAGTCATCTCTAATCTACGGCTGATGAAGTTTGAGATTATTTTAAAGGCCTTGTGTAAGGCTTACAAATAACAGTTCTGTAATTTTATTCCCAGTTCAAAGTAGTTCCACACCATTATTTTTTCCACACAAGTTTTAATTATCTGAGATTTTTATCCGACCCTTTTTCATTAACATAATAAAATCTGCACTAAGCACTGGCTGTTTTTAAACATCTGAGATAGATAGAGATAATAGGTTGTTAATGCTAGTTGCATTACAGTACTGGAGTACCTAAGTGTTCCACCTTCCTGCAGAGCTTCACGGTTCTTTGCCACTTTATAAACCCAGTCTTCTGCATTAGGAATTATTTCCTCCTTCTGCATCAGTGCGAACACCAGCCTCCTTAGCAACACTTTCTGGAACCGTACTTAAAATACAAATGCACAAACATTTTTTCAATGGTATTTTACATACACAGTACAGGGGCTTAATTGTGACAACAATGGACATAAAACCAGCTGACCTCCTATCCGCCCAGGGTCACCTCTCAGAAGGCCAAGCAATATGTTCATGCGCTCCATACTCCTGGAGGTTTTTTTGCCTGTATCTCTCAGCAATGAAACAGCTTTCTGGGTGCAGGATCTCAATAGAGACAAACTGTGTAGATGCACTAAATCTCCCTGACAACCAATCAAACACAGTATTTCTGTCAGGAGGTATGAAATTATTTTTGATATAGCACATCTCTGATGTATATGTTTAAACCAATCTATTGCGAGCGTAAAGGATTTTACCCTCTCACTTTCTGGTCCACTTGTATCCATTTCCTCAGATTCATTGAAATCTGTATATATATATATAGATAAAAAAAATTTAATTCATGAAGAAAATGTGAGTTGTGCTTGTAAAGTTTACAACTACAATACATGGTGTTGCTAGGGTGTTCTAGGTATTTTTAGACCCTAAATATGGCTTGGGTCTTTCCTTCAGTGCAAGTCTGTGGGATTTTTATTGCCCATCAGGTAGAAATTTTAAGATGAATCACTAACACTTTACCTCAACAAGCTGCATGATCTGAAGTATAATTTTATGTTTCAAATTTGTTAATACAAAGGGTTAGGGGATTGTTTAAATATCCAAGTTGCTGTCAGCTTTTGGTTGTTGGTACCTTACATACCTGACTCGACTTTCTGGGAGATGAGTTTACTTATAGGTATTCCACAAAAAGCCTTAAGATTTAAGCTCATGTCACCGGAATCTCTGAGGTCATCAATATGTGCTGATAGCCAAACTCCTTTAGTAAAAAAGATACTTGTTAAGAATAATTATTTGACAATACCTAAACATACTGCAAATGTTTCACCTGACAAAAAACTTACCTCCTTGAAAGCCAATGTACTTGTTGCCACTTGTTCTACATTGTTCACCAATTCGGGAGAGCTTTGTGATAAACACAGTATAGACGTTGCAATCATCTGACTTTAAGGACAGGATTTCATTCATGGTACAGTATCTAAAGTAAGAGAAGTCACATAAAATGTCATTAAAGATGATTTTGACTCCTGTTATACAGGGTGTTAATAAATTGAAATCTGATTTAACCAGCATTAAAGGGACTTACTTTGCCGAAGCAATAAGTTCATTTTTGCACAATGACTCTTCCATGTCCATCTGAACCAAAAGAATGTACAGAGAAAGTCCAGATTCCCTCAGGAAGGACCTTTGGAAAAAGAAGTACAATGTTTAGAAAATTGTTGACCAATTGTTGTGAAAGGTACTGAATAAAGTCAACAAAAATAATATAAACATTACCGTATCTTGTTGCAAAAAGAAGCTTCTGTGTCAAATTGGTGTAAAGAGAGCAGAAGAAACCGCTCAGTGGACAAATCCAAGGCCGGGGCAAGATTTCTCACATCAGCTTCAGTGAGAAGACTGGAGAACGTGGTTACCTAACAGAAAACATATGCATTGATTTTGCAAGGTAAATTGGTAGATATAACACCATGTCCCGACCAGACGTGACATGATAAGATTCAAGCAACAAACAATTTGTCTGTCCATACGAGACTCAACATAGCTACACGATGCGACAGAATCGATCAAAAATCACAGCCAATCAAGAAACATAATCAGCACCTGAGATTATCATCGTCATAGTTTCTATGCTGTTGTGACACAATGTAAGACATACAATCAAGTAAACATGCTGCTTAAAAGTCTTACAAGCATTACCTCCAAGAATCTGCTCTTGTCCTGATCATTTTTGTTCAGATGGTTGTCTAATAGGTCTCTGAGAGATTGATGGCTTTGCTGATGGAAATACATTCTCTGAAGTTTGTCTCTCTCCTGATTTCCAAATTCCGAATACTTTAACCTAAGTACCGAGTCTGGTGATGCACAATTCAAGAGAAAGCTTTTGGCAGTTTCATAGACTTCCTCTTCCTCGTCCATGGTTTTGTTTGAGTATATTGTCTCTAGGTCAACAGGCTCTTCATCCATTTTCACAAGATCAGAAGTATCTCCAAGGTTCTCAATGTCTTCATGAATTTCTGCATTCTGTTGCTCGTTATTCTGTAGCTCGTTGTCAACTTCCATTGAGGCACTCTCTCCTTGTGTCTCATCAGGGAATTTGTTCATTTCCTCTTGAGACTCTGTCATATCTTCATCTTCATCAATGTGATGAGCCTCACTTTCCTTTTGCTTCATGTATACGTCCTTAGCCACATTAATCTTAGAGCCCTCTTTACTTGGTTCACTGATCTCATTCTCGTACTTGGGAATGCAATGGAGTTCATCATTTTGAGCAGCTTTATCATGGCCCCGTTTCTGTATTTTCTCTAAAGCCTGCAGAAGTGCACTGGCACAAGCATCCCCATGGAAACCAACAAAGGCATCTGATAAGCTGAAATTTGCTTCAGTAGATTCAGATTGCTGAACTTTTGAGAACTCTTGTGCCCACTGTTTGAGTTTCTCCAAAACTCTGTGCTGCCAAGGAGTCAAATCTGTACTCCTATCAACTTTGTGTTTCTCCAGTCTGTTTTTAAGTGGAACAGGAAACCTTTTGTAGACTTTTTCCTGGTCCTCCACCACAACCAGTCTGAAGTCTTTGTGAACTCGACACTTTACTCTATGTGAACCAAGTCCCAAGTCAACATAATTCTGTCCACTGAAGCAGACATAGTATTGATTCAAGGCATCATACAGGCTCTCATACAAATTGAGGAGATTCAATAGGATGACAGTTCGACCTGTCTCCATGCATGCCTTTATTCTACTCACATTGCGACATATCTGGGCATACTCCTGGTCTCTGGGAAATCCTGATCCAAAGACAATTTCAGGGCATGTATAGTTCTCCTTGGAGAAAATATGGTGTTGGATAATGTACAAGGCAGCATTGTTAGTTGTGAGCAAAAGAAGGTACCGGCACTCTTTGTCACTGTGGCGGTCAAGATTTTGTTCAATCATTTTCAGTGTACTTGGCCTTTGAACTTCAAAGTTCTGGAAGATATTCCGAAAGTAATCAAGAGGATCAAAATCATCCCTTTGTCCACTGAAGTTTCTCAACACAGCCTCTGCCAATTCACTGTCAGATGGCTCTTGATCTGAACTGTTGACTGTTGCAAACATCATTTTCACCAAGCTGTAATAATCTCGGAGTCCAAAAAACTGTTCACTGTCCGTTTTACAGATGTCTAGGTAGCCCTTTGCTAACTTTGGCAGGAGGTGCTTGATTTTGAGAAGAATGTTATGGGAGGATGAGCAGATTCCTTCGGCTGTCTCTACTAAGTCCTTCTCACTTGGGTCCCAACGGGACACAAAAATACCTCTGTTCATTTTTGCTGGATCGAGAGCCCAGTTTGAGATTCCAACAAATCCAACCTTCATATGTGGCTGTGGGTTATCACTGTCTATGCATCCATCCTCTAGAAGGGGATGCAATGTCTTCAATGGCATCTGAGGAGAGTCCTCTGCAAGTCCTATTTCATCCAGAACAACTACTGACACATACTCATCAAAATTCTTGTCCTTTTGGAAACGGGCACAGTTCCGAAAGGTTCCAATGATTCCTTCAGGGCTTGAGTGAGGGCTGCATTGAAAAGACACCATGTGAACTTCCTTGAATTTCTTGAATAAGTCGCAGTGAGAGGCCTGGCGCTGCATTGCATCTGCTATAACAGTCTTAGCAAGCGATTTTGAGCTCCCTGGCTTGCCAACCAGAAAGAGTGGAATTCTCAACTCAATGCAGACCACCATGAGGAAGACATTTTCTTTCAAAGCCAGATTTTTGGCAATTGTATCTCTTGTTTGGACTTTCTCAAGAAAAAAGTCTTGGCATGAAGTTATCTCCTGCTCCAGTGACTCTTTGGAGTTGAATGGAAAAGGAAAGCATTTGCTCATATCCGTTAAGTATGCCCCTTTGTTTTCAAGTGATGGGTAATAGCAAACACCCATGGCAAGCACCAGGCACTTCAAGGTCATCAGCTCAATTTCAATCAAGTGGCATTTTGGAAAAAGATCATCTCTGTGGTTGTAAAACCAAACTAGGACACACATTGATCTCTCCACATCCCTAAGACTTACAAAGCTGCATTCATCTGCTTGTCTACGCATGTATCTTTGAGAGGCAGCCAAAACTTCTGTGATTACACTCTGGCATGCATGGGGCAATTCATGATCTCTCATTTGTTTTCGCACAATTTGGCGGATATAAGAGAGTTCTGTTGAATCGCTTAATTGTCCAAAATCCCATACCAGGGGCACCATGCTTGGGGGTAGAGGGTGCACACGGTACACAAGCTGTCTCATGGGAACTTTACCAAGGCGATCCTCTGTTTCTTCAGCTTTCACTCTGTATCCTAGCCCAGCACGCTCCAAGCGGTCAATCATTTTGGGTGTGTGTCTTCTGTATGGATTGCAGGCAGCAATTATTTTCAGACCACAATTTTTCTTCAAAGGGTACCCTTGTACAGTTTTGTCACATAGCACTTCCTTGATGGCAAATATTGCTTCAGTTGTGTTGGCTTCATCAAAAAACAAAACTGTGTCAAGTTCATATTTTTGACGGTTGTTCTGAGCAAGTTCTTCTGCTTCCTGCACCTTCCTATAGATTACCTCAGAAGTAGTACCTCCATGAACTTTGACAAGTTTCATGTTTTCAACATCTCTGTCTTCACGTTGCAGATCACAGAGAAAGCGTATAAGCCGTGTCTTCCCACAGCCAGTTTCTCCCATGATGATCACTGGAATCTCACATCTGAATCTCATATGAATAGCCAACATCTTCATGACATTGTCAGTAGTGAGTTCATACGTAGGGTCTGGATCAAATTTTCCTTTTTCCCAGCCTTTTTTGGCACCAACAACAAAGGAAATTTTTCGTATCTTGTCTTCTCTGGACAGGTCATCAAAATTCTCAGAAAGGTTAATTCTTTGTCGCTCAATGTCTGAAAAGAGATCTTGTGTCATCACATTTCTCATTAACACTTTGCCACTTCTTGGATCAACTGCATTAAGAATTGTCCCATTTTTCTGCACATGGAATCCTAAGAAAGACATGGTGAAATGGTCTGCATTGAAAAAGATGTATGGGTGAGGTTCATTTTCCCATTGTTTTCGAATAGATAGTTTGGCTAGGATATCTTCCTCATTTTCGTTCTCAGAGAAAAAGGAGGGGCTCTCATCAGAGATGTCAATGGAAGGAGAGGCAAAGTCTTGAGCCATGTGAATCATGAATTTTACTATGAAGTCCTTGAAGCCACTTAAATTGTCAGCAAGGAAGTCTGGATCACAGAACAAGGAATTCTCACAGTCCTTAAGCTGCAGATTAAGGAACCAGGTAAAGTGCTTTATTTCTGCCCATGATGGGTCCTTCAATCCATAGTTTGATAAAAGATGATGGAGACAGTCAACCGGATCACCTTCTACAGATTGAGCTTGATATTTGAAACGATCCAAGTTCACATTCCTGTTGAATCTCTTCAAGTATTGGTAGGGTCTCTGAATGGCCTCACTTTTAAACTCTTCATTATCCATCAATGGATCTAAGGATGTGTAACCCTCATTTTTTCTCCTGATCTCCAAAGCGTTGACATCTTTAGGAGGTCTGCAGAAGATAGTAGGTAGTGTATGCAAAAATCCATGTGTTATCTGTAAAAAGAAAAAATGCCGAAATACAGGTTAATGCCTGTAGCTCAACAATTGTTCAAAGAACGAAAATTTAACAAAATGGAAAAAGTAGGTTTGCACCTCCATCTGGGTTTGACTCTTTTGAACTTGCTGAAATGCTTCAATCGCCACCAAGTGAGCTGCATTTCTCCTCCATATAGTTCCTTTGCTGTCACTAAGACATCCTAGAATGAGTAATTTGAATAGGAATTCCTCCAAGCCATGACACAACTGATGTAAAAAGAAATGTAGTGAGACAAATTATAATGTTATTAGTGACCCATATTTAGTACTGCATATAATAGTGCATGTTATGATATAGCAAAAATGACTAAACATTTTTTAATAAAACATACTGCTGCAGTATCAATGTGCAACAGCACAGGGTCCTGCTCTCTCAGTGGAGCCAGTCTTTCAGACAGGGTTTGGACAAATCCATCCATGTCAATGCAGGGCTCAGTGAGTCTGATTGTTAGACAGGTGGCTCTTGGAAACTCTCTTTTGAACTGCTCAAATAGACGCTTGACATATAGTGACTTTCCTGCACCAAGAATATGAAAAGATCCAAAGAAAAAGAAAAGAGTATCAGCATAATGTTTGGTAACATTTCACCATTTTTTAAAGACAACATGAAACGCAACCTATTTTACTTCCACAGTGTGACATATTCAATGACAACTTCTTACAGGTAACGAGTGGAGGACAGAGGAGCCTCTTAAAGAAGAAGTTACAGGTCTGTGAGAGCCAGAAATCTTGCTTGTTTGTAGGTGACCAAATACTTATTTTACCGAGGAATTTACCAATTAATTCTTTAAAAATCCTACAATGTGATTTTCTGGATTTTTTTTTCTAATTTTGTCTCTCATAGTTGAGGTATACCTATGATGAAAATTACAGGCCTCTCTCATCTTTTTAAGTGGGAGAACTTGCACAATTGGTGGCTGACTAAATACTTTTTTGCCCCACTGTAAATGGTTGGAGGAAAGGGATTTAAAAATAAAAGGGATTCATAACATCAGCCCAGAAAATCACGTCGCTTCAGAAGCAATGACGAAGCAGATTATTGCAGTTTGATAAAACACTTTTTTTTCCATTAACATGCACCTTTAAATAATACACAGTCAAGAAAATGCATTAAAAAAGCAAATAGAGTCAATTTTGTTCATGTTGACTTCAATATACACAAATCTAATACATACCAACAGCTGGATGCTCAGATGAAATCATCCAGACAGAGAGTTCCCTTGGATAGACTTTTGAGTGGGGAGCAAGCTCAGATGGGATACGGAAGTGATGGCCAAGATAGTCTTTAATTCTTTCTGCAGATATACTTAGACCTGTTTGTACTTTATAGTTGCTGAAGAAGGAAGGGACATATCTATCCTGGTTTACAGGACAGACCATCACTAGACGGTAATGAGGCCCAGCACTCCTTTCTAGCATCTCAAAGCATTCCACCAGTGCCACACTCACATCATAAGTCAGTGAACCTGGATTGACCAGAGTGTAAATCTTCTGATGATTGCTTGCAGTGCCTTGGAATCCTAGACATCGGCGCAGGAAGATCTCCACCTCCTCTTCAGTTGTCTCCTCCTGGCACATTAATACCTCATCAGTTGTTGGAAGAGGATGCTGTGGACTCTCTGTGTAAAAAGACAGAGTTGTGCTAATCAATTCCACAACAGGGCACTGGACAAGGTTTGGCCTTCCCTCTTGTAGAATAGGAGGAATCTTGCGTTTGATGTGCATTTGATTCATGGCAGACAGATTGGAGAGGAATCGTCCAAGTGTTTCGACATCCACATGGTGGGTAAGGAACCTGGACATGTTCTCTTTAAATTGCTGCCACAGGTCCTCTAAGCATTCAGTACCAACATCTAGTAAACTTAAGCTCAAAGGCAGGTCAAAATAACTGTTTTGTTCTGATTCCTCTGCTATGTCATCTTGCACCATAGATTCGGTCTCCGTTGCTTTTTCAAAGGCCTCTCTGATGTCATTTAAGGTACAGTGTGGTTTAATAGGAGTCAAAAGATGCCACATTTGTTGTGGCACAGGTTTCCTTTTGATGCTAACGCTGTTGATCCATTCACAAAGAAAGACCACTTGTTCTGAAGTGTAATGATTCAGTGTGTAGTACTGAGAGCGTATCTTAGTTAAGTGGTTACACCAGTCTTTATGAAAGTTCTCCAGAGAGCGACACAGTTTCTGAAGCTCCTCTTCAACTTCGCCATGATATACAACACACTTGCTCAACAGGGTAAAGCTAACTTGAATGCAGGGTTGATCTTGGTGGTTGCATGTTATCTGTGCCCCCCAGTTTCGAAAGAGCATATTACCCGATGTGCGCAATTGAAGGAGGATGCGGCCCATCCTCTGGACTCCTTCAAAAACCTACAAGATGAAAACAGAGGTAAGTCTTCACAAAACTAATGCCCATTTCCTTTAATAAACTTATGTAAATATAGAGATCTGGTCTTTTATTGGAACTTTATGTTTTTAGACACCAGTAGTTTAATATTTCTCGCAAAATGCTGGTGAAAAATTGTGATAATGGACCCACTTGAGTAAACTTGTTGACTTGCTCTCTTCCACGCTCCCCTTTAGAAGACATAAGCATGAGCTTATTCTGCAGCTCTGAGAGTTCATTAAGATTGTATGTCTTTACTTGTTCGTTCTTTGTCACCTTCACATAAAAGACATTGTCCAAACCTGTCTACAAACATATCAAATGAAGAAACTGTTCTGTTACTAAACAGAGGATCACAAACTCCCCTATTGCACAGAATGTCTGCTTAATAGAATGCTTTAAGTGATTTAAATGAAACATTTTTGTGGAAATGTAAAAAAAGTCTGACTTTAAGCATTGAAAATGTTATACTAGTGTCTACTCACTTTCCCATTGAAATCTTTAGGCCAGCCCACATGATACACGCCTCCAGTGTTGATAGCTGAGGCCATGGACAAAGACGATTGCTCAACAGAGCCATGAGTCTCCCTTAAACCTTTCAGCCAATCCAACCACCGATTGGAGTCTACCTGTATAGAAGACAATATATCGGCAACACTTCTTTAAAAGCATGTATGGACGACAGTGACTTGACAGTTTTAAATTGCATTAGAAATAAGCATAATTTAAGACCTATCAATTGAAAGATTAGAGGGGTACAGAACAATTTAAATTAAATTATTGTATTGGTTAAATGTCTGCAGAAACTAACCAATTTATCCAGGAGTTTCTCATCTTTGTCAAGGGTGTCCCATACTTGCTTAGCACATTTAATAAACTCTTCAAATCCTGCATTTTCTTGTAGTGAGTAAAGCAAAGGGCCGTAGCCCATCACAACAGTCTCGAAACTGGCTAGCCTATCAATGTCTGCATCATTCTCTCCAGCAGAAATTGTGGCCAGTTCCATAAAGACTTTCAGGTCCCTTAAACCTAAATGAAACATACTGAATATGAACATTTTTTTCCACACATCAACACTATAAAACAGATATATCCCAAAAAAATCGTACTAGGAATTTGCGTTTTGACCCATTTGATCAGAGTCTCACTATCCAAGAATGCCTTCAGACAGGCTGTGTGCTGGCGTTTGACATCTGCCAGTTTTTGTCTGGCTCTGATGAGGTCATCACTCAGCGAACCCAGAGTGTTTTCTTTGAATGAGTCATCTCTCTATATACAGAAGAATAAAATGTTCACAATTCTAAACAAAAATAGAAACACGCTAAATATAATGCAATTACAAGAATGATTGGTCTCTTACCACTTGAATCAGGCTAAGAATATGGCTGAAGTCTCCTTGTAATCCCAACCTATCTTTTATTTTCAGTATGACCTCAGCAGATTCCGCAGCATGGTAAAGGCGTTTGTATTCCTGAATCTGACTGAGACGATGCTCTGGCCACTTCTCTTCCAGAGACGTATGGCTTTTCAGCATACTGGCCAACAAAATGAGCTCTTTCTTTAAACGATTTCCTTCACCCCTGTCCCCACACCATTTCAAAGCTTGGTCCACCTCTTTAAAACAAGTTTCTCCAACTGCAATCCGTAGACCAAGTTCGAGGAAGTCAGTGAGACAATGATTCCAGATTCTGTCATGGACTTCTGTAAGGTCTAGTGACAAAAGCTGAGGACCAGGCATAAAATATTTGGTTGCCTTTTCTTGCCATAAAGATAGCATAATGTTGCTGGTCTTCACTTCATACATCTCCCGTGCCATGTTTAGGACTAGCAGATCAACATTGTAGAATAACACTCGCCTTGTGTTGTTTTTGACAAGATCTTCTTTGGAGAAATATGTCTGCACTTCCACCAGTTTGTCCAGAGTTACAGTCTGCAGGTTGGTTTTGACCATGTCTTCAAGGGAAGAAACCTCTGGTACTGAGGCAAAGTCATGACAATTTTAATGCAATTAGTGTAAATACAATTACCAACTTTAATATTATTCTCATTCAGAAATCATGACATTAATCATGATTTCCCCCCCGTAATTCTATTGATGGCTTTCGTTTTTAACAGTAAAAAGAAATTTAAAAAAAATTTTTTTTTTTACTTCTTTTCACTGTCAACTTAATACAAAGTAAATAATTTACAGAAAACATTTGAATAATTAGCTTTGTCTCCAGGTTAATGCAACAAAATAAATGCCAATTATTTAGTTTTGGAAACACATTGTCTTTACAATATCACACTCTTCTGACACAGTATAAATGGGTCTTTCATCTTCATAGTTTGGGAAGGGGGTCCCTCACAAGGGGTTCATCGTATTTGGGGGTCCTTGGCATAAAAAAAGTTTGAAAACCCCTGTCCTAAGGTAACTTCCTTACCATCTATGACATCAGTAATCTTCCCCAGCATATTAATAAGGTTGGTCATGTATTCCTTCTGTTGTTCAAAGGCTTTCAAGTCATCTTCTCTTTGACTGAGTAGCTCTGACACATTGATCGAGATATTCTCTTCTTTGTTGTTCTTCTTATCTAATTTCAAAATAAACAAAAATATGAATAGGCTTGTGTTGAAAGAGACCTCTATAAATTGTAATGATACTAAGTGCATAACACTTACACTGGTTGTAAAGCTTCTGAAATTGACTTTTAGACTTAAAGATGGTCTTAAGGTGGCCCAGGGGTATACTTCCCTGGCAAAGGGTCTGAATTAGAGAACCTAAGAATGATTGACTATCTGATATTAAATGACTAGCATCATCTTCCAACTTCCACTGATTGCATTTGTCTGTGAATATGAAACATAACACACAATGTTAATGAACAACTGCTGCCCATAATGTATTTAGATATATACATGAAGGATTCTTAAACTGTGTCCAAGTGTTCTTTTTCTGTCTGTTCACTTTGTTGTTAGACCATATTAAAACCATGAAACTTGTAAGACCCAGTCACTGCACCTTGAGACAAGAGGAAGTTGATTGCTGACTGTGGGTCCAGTAGACGACCTTCATGATCCTCTCCAAAGCGAGCTGCTGACTCCACAATAATGGAGGACACAACAGGCCATGAAATTGACTTGGAAAAAAGATGGCGTAAAAGGTCTCCTTCCTTATTTGCCTGCAAGAAAAAAACAAACAAATACAAAAAGGTACCGGAACAAGATGTACAAGTACTTACAAATACACCAATCCACTTTTTTTTGCAAACAGAAAACAAGAGAATGAGTGACACATGCAATACAACAATACTGCAAAAATAATAAACAATATAATTTTTTTCAGCATGAAAAGTTGACATTACCTGACACTGGTTCTTAACAGCAACCTGACACATCTCTTTGAAACAAGACTGAAGGTTTGCATGACTATTCTCGATAGTCTTTGCTGACATCACCAGACAGCATACAACAATCTTGTCAGTGTTGGAGATCTGAAAAACAAAAGGAAGATGGTGACATACATTACGTACACTTTTCAATGTATATACTTAAAAAATAAAGTTTTTATCTTACATGGGACAGTCTCTGTCTCAGGTCTTGGTGTAATAAACCCTTCCAGCTTTCAGAGACGCCTGGTATTGAACACTCAATCCCATACAAATCATTCCACAACTACAAAGAATTAACAAAACCAAAAATTACTATTTTATAGTTTGTCACCTACCAAGTTCTCTGACCTGAAAATTTATATAGTACAAAAGATATTTGGTAGAATTCAAAGAACAGAGAACAATGTCCAGTGGCGGCTCGTGGGTTTTAAAATAGAGGAGGCACACTAATGATATTGGTCTGGGATCCCTGCCGATTATTATTATTATTTGCTTAACCACTTTAAAATGGCTTTTTGGTTGCTTTTAGTCAGAAAACGTAAAGAAAACGACACACATACAGCAAGATAATATAATTAATAATAGATAATATAATGTAATTTACGTCTCTATGATGATTGGTTGATATCAGAAAGGAGGCTAGCCTCCTCTACGAGGTTTCTTGTCTCAACACTCCTTAGCGCTGAAAGTGAACACTCGATGGTGATTGGCTAATTGTTTTTACCAACGGAGGCACGAGAACTCAGCTCTCCCCCGGCCTCCCCCTACCCTTCTCTATCATTAGCGGTTGTAATTACATCAGCAGAATCTGCACATTCGCGATAGAAAAGCAGCGCTTTCCAACTTCAGTAACATGTTATGGTATTACAGCTGTGAAATTACAAACAAAAAATACACATTCTGAGGCATGAACTGAAATGAAGTGTGAATTTTATTAACATTAAATCGTCCTCCTCCCATTTTCACCTCAAAATTTTGGGGAAGCTGTGCCTCCCCTGCCTCCCCCGATGAGCCGCCACTGACAATGTCTGAAGAAGAGGTCCACATTCAAGTTAATCAGTTGTACTAATTACTACACCTGTATTTCTCTAGGGTAAGAAAATCTGGACTCCTGCATCAGAGGATTGTGTAGCAGCCCATCTCTCCATTTACTGAAATCTCTTTGAATGTCAATGAGTGTGGACAAGAGCTGACTTTGCTTTTGTTTCATTTCCTCTCCACCCTGCAAAATAAATAATTTGCTTACAAAGACACAATACCGCCCTTAAAATTACTTTCAAGAAGATCTCAATGATGCAGTACCTTTGAAAAATGATCATGATGAATTTCAGCCATTTTAAGAAGGAGTTGGAATGAGAGCACTGGGACTCTGTATTGTGGGACAAGTCGAGCGATTTTGCAAGCGCTCTTGTGAACATTTCTGCAACACCGAAGGATTAAGCCAGATGACTTGGACTCTGTGATTCTGTAATTAAAGAAATTCTAATATCAACATTTTAAGAACAAGATTACGAAGTTAAAAAAATACCACATTTAATAAACTTGTGTACCGTTCTCTGTCCTCCTCAATCCTCTTCAACAAGAGGTTAAGAACTTTTTCAGTTGCCTGCAATTTAAAAAGCAAACATTTGTTGGTATGAAAATGTTCTCTCTGTGCCAAATGCAAAACCTGTAAAGCAAGCTATATGCCCTTCATCAGATACCTCCAGGTTTTGGTCTGTACGGTTGGAATTAGTGTTTTGTTCAGTCTCCTTCATTCTATACATCAGGCTCTGGATCAGGAGTTCAGGATCAATTCCTGCCAACTGGACAAACTCAGGGACATCCTCAAATGCCACAATGGAAAGCCAGCTTTTCAACAAGTAAGGATCATCTTTGGTCATTGATAAGTAATCTTTGATCAGCCGAAGGACCATGCTGCAAATTTAGGAAGACATGTATCTCTCATATTCATGTTCAAGCCATTATGAAATTTTGATAATAAAAATGCTCCTCTAAAAGTATTCAGACAGACCTCCTTTTGTCAGGGAATCCTCTAATTCTCTCCCTAAAAGATGGATACTCTATGTTTTCAAGCCCTGCCCATCTCTGTTCGTTCATAGCTGAGCCTGGATCTGACTTTGCCCCTGGCTTTCTCAGTAAATGAAGGACAGGAACAAGTAACACCACTTCTGAGATCAGATTCTTTGCACAAAAATTCATCAGTCCCAACACAGTGCTGTAAAGACATCAAAATGATTATTGTGGTGTCTTTTAAGACATAACCACTAAATATGTAAACAACAGCAACTATTCATTAGGAAAACCTTTGTATTATACTGTGTATTAAGGGATACAAATAAAATCTAATTCTCTAAAACCATAGATTTGTCAAATAAACCTTACTCACAAGTTAATTAATGGTATAGCTGTTAGGGTTGTTTGCATTTCCCCAAGAGAAGCAGTCCATTTAGAGACAACTTGGCAGAGTTTACCCCAGTCCTTTGTGCTGAGATTCACACCACAGGCCTGGCACACCCGGAACACTGAGAGGGCCACTTGCAATGATTTGATCCCAGTTGAGCTCTCTGATTTTTTTACTTCTGAATCTCCTTTCAAAATCATACTTAGTTTAGCAGAAATGAGATCTGAGACCTAAAACAAAAATGAGTCCACTTATAGTCATTTTACTCTGCTGTAGTTTTCTTAAAAGGAATAAAGCCTTAAAAAGATCACACATACTTTTATTGGAGATGGTGCGAGTCCCTCAGGGAATTGCACCCAGCTTGATTGAAAACCTTTTTTGTAATCATTTAGTTGTTGTATAAATGTCTTGTTCCTCTCAGGGTTAGATGGCTGCCATTTCTGAAAAATACTGTCCAATAACACACGAGCAGAGGTCTCCCAGCCTTTGCATATGTCTTTTTTTTCAGACTGAAACCAACTCTTAACCCACTCTTGAACAGATACTGGGTTTGAACAGCTTATATAGCCTTCATAAAGGTGAAGTTCTGGAAATACAACAATAAGATGAGGCATTATTATCACACCATGTACAGGAAATAGTCCAAAATTTTTATTTTTTTTCCAGATTTTGGTACCTTTCACAGTATTGTCAGCAGGGATCTCAACAAATCTCACTGCTATTTCCATGGTCTGCTTTTGTCCCTGATGCACTGCATACATATATTTTATTGTGCAACCCCTCACAGCGCTTTCTGGAACTGAAAATGTTGCTTCAATCAAATAGTCATCCTGGCGTAGGCCCCTAAGTAACAAGAAATAACATGACCATAAAATATACTCACACTTTACAAAGCAAATCTCTCATTACTTAACATCAGTTACATGTTCTCGTGCATATTGCATTTGCCAGTCTACACTATAGACAATTGTGTGTGTGTGTGTGTGTACTGTATATAGGAAGTGAAATGAAAATGGAAATTAATGAGAAACTTACCTACAGTTTTTAATATCTAGTTTAATAGTTTCATTCCCTTGAAGGGGAACGAGCAACAGGGAATCATACAATTTGTTAAATCGGAATCTTTTGTCCAGAACAGCATAAATGTAAAAGGTGAACATTGGTGCTTCAGCTGGATGCCTCACTGGGGAAGGTTTTCTAATAAAACAAAAAATAGAAAGCATGCATCAGAACAGAAGTCATACATCTACTTAAGTCAAACATTTGGCATAAGCACAAGGCTACAAACCTCTGAGCTCTTTTGCTTTCCATTGAGCTGGCCTGATTCTCTGCTGTCTGATTTCTCTTCTCCTTAGATTCTTTAGTACTTCCTGCTGTAGCGGCTGCTGCGTACGATTTTGGTTCTTCTGTTCCTGACTTGACTGGGTCTTTCTGTGAATCTCCTCCTGAATGTTTTTCCTTTGTGTCTGCATCTTTCTGCTTATCTTCATCTTGTTCTCTGCAACCATCTGATAGTTTGGTCCTTTCTTTTGTCTCCTCTGTAGGTTCCCTTGTTTCACTCACTTTTCTTTTCTTCCTCTCAACACTTTCATTCTTTTCTTCATTGCTTTCATTTCCTTTGTTCCTTGACAGGCCAGTTTCCACCTCCATCTTAACATCTTCAGGATTGCGTTCTGTTGGCTGTGACACTTCTGTGGTCTCTGTGTTGCCATTGAGCTCTGTTTGTGTCTGCTGTGTTGCTTGACTGACAGTCTCCGTCTGAGTCTCCTTGTTTTCAAGCCTACTTGAGCTTGTTTGAGTCTGAACATCTTTACTCAGTGGTTCAGGCTCTGCTGCACCCGTGCTGTGCCGTCCATGGCCTCTGGATCTGGATCTGGATCTGGCCGGGCTCGGGTGACTAGTTTGCGTGCCTTTTGTTTGGCTCTGTGAACGTGTTCTGGATGAAGGTGTGCTACCATCTCTTTTTTGGGCCCCCTTCTTCTGAGCACCTGGCTTTCTTTTCTCTCCACTCTTTCTTTTCCTTGTCATTTTCTACCTTCTGCAAAAGAGGTTCAAAAGTCAAAGAATCTGCTAAATATTATATAAGTGTGTATGTAATATATATATAATTTTTTATCTATTTTTAAATTTAATTTAGGTTTTACTAGGTCTACTACTATTAATCAGTAGTGAGGAAGGTACTGCTGCAGTATTGTTTTTAACATGTGTTTGATTTTTCTATATCATATGCCATAGTTTGCTTTACAGAAACCATTGTCTAACCATGGCAAGGAGCCATCCATGATTTTAACAGTGGTAATTATAGCGAAAACTAGTTAAAATATGGTTACTATACAATGACTATGATAAATTTTCATTAGGAATCAGAATATTGCATAGCATTAGTGACTGCAAGGACAGATCTTCTCAAATTCATAACAAGGTTTTATGTTTTTCCACAGCTCTTAATAATCTCATAACCATGCCTGCTGAAGCCAGAGGTCACCGAGGTCCGAAATTTTTCATATGAGTGTCTACATGTTTAGACAGGTTGCAAGAATGTTTAGCGTCCGTGGTATGAAAATGATTGTTGTCAGACGCTGGCGGAGTGAACCTGGCTTGAGAGAGTTGAGAGTGAGGGCGCTGGAGCATTGTTGCCAGATCCAGCTATTATAAGCGCTTTTGGACTCGTCTTTTCCACTTAATTTGGCACTTTAGAAATTTAGCAAAGTGGGAAGTTGTAGTTTAGGTTTAGCGATATATTTATCTTATGTTATTTGCAAATGATTTGAAATTATTTTAGTTGATTTTTTATTCATTTTACGTCTTTACGGGTTTTATTTGTTTTCATAGCAATATCTGGCAACACTGATCACACAGGTGTCCTGCCATTTTATCCACGTCAGATGTTCTACCAGGGTTTACTGCGCATGCGCACATCAATATTGCTTCCTTTTTCTCCTTTTATATACACTTTAGTCCAGCCATCCGCTATGAAGCTGCCAGTATAACACGTTCTCTACCACTCTCTCTGCAAGGAAATATATTATTTCATGATTATGAATTCATTCTTATGGGTCTGTTCTTTTACATGATCGGCATTTTAGGGAGGTTTATCACAAATAAAGTGTTCAAATGGCCGTGATCCAGACTGGCAGGTTATTGCCGCTTGCACTGGCTGCTCAATCAACCAGCCGCAAGAGCGCTCCGAGTTTAACGCGTTCCCTACCACTGTCTCTGCAATTAACTATATTATTTTATGATTATTAATATATTATTATACTTTATACTCGCAGTTTAACCGTGGCTGGCTGGATTGAGCCGCGAGTGGAAGCGACAATCAGCTGGCAGTTGGGATCACGGCCATTTGGGCACTTTATTTGTAATAAGCCTCTATAAAATGTCGACAAATTAGAGGACTAGACCCATAAGAATATATTAATAATCATAAAATCATTTATGTCTGACTGATCCGCCAGTGGATCTTGTTCGGCTCCCCCCACCCCCGGGCAGGTCCCGTGCCCTGTCAGTGGCGGCTCCTGCCAGCCAGTTGAAGATTGAACCCCCACTCTATTTCTTTCAGTATAGTAGTTACATTTTCACAAAGTCATGCTAAAAACATTCATAAGATCACTAGACAAAGTTATTATCTATATAGCAATGGTTATTAATGAAAACTATAACAGTAACATGTATTGTTGCATGAATAATAAACAACTGATAAAATTATCCACCCCTAATCTGTAGTAAAGTATAAATAAACTTTGATGCAATAAATATGGTATAATTGTAGTACAATGGTCATCCCTCCAAAACAGATAAAACATCTTTCACAAACATCTACATGTCTGTCTCTAAAGTGTTTAGTGTGAGTTGTAGGGGTTATTATAGCACAATTCTTAACCCCACCCTGGCCACCCCAGACCTCACTAATTTTCAAACCCTGGCTATGGCCATGCTCATAACCATCTCTGATCATCAATAATTACTTCCTCATAACTTCTCTTAGGTTTCCTTTATCAGACATAATACTGCCTCACACATTTCCCGAAAAGAGAAATGTAAAAAGCGTCTAAATGCAGTTAAATGTGTAGGCAAATTTTAGAATATATTATTAAAAACCGCATATATTAGAAAACATAGATGAATCTTAAACCTTTGTCAGAATCGTTTGCAAAGCGATTGTCTATAATATTAACAACAACATGCATTATTACATACTTGAATTGATCCTTGGCATTGTAAAAAGATGACAGATGCATGTTTTGGGGAGTCGCTCTCCCTGAATAGTCTTCACTCCTGTCAGCAAACCGAGCTATGTGTTGCAGTTCCCCTCCGTTCTGCTTCTTATTGCATTCACTAAACTTTCGGTTTCGTTTCACCAGCTGGTTTCTATACACTGGTAGTTCCCTCCTCACAACTAACGAAAGCTTAAAGGAACACTCCACTATTTTTGAAAATAGGCTCATTTTCCAACTCCCCTAGAGTTAAACAGTTGAGTTTTACCGTTTTCGAATCCATTCAGCCGATCTCCGGGTCTGGCGGTAGCACTTTTAGCTGTAGCTTAGCATAGATCATTGAATCTGATTAGACCGTTAGCATCTCGCTCAAAAATGACCAAAGAGTTTAGATATTTTTCCTTTTTAAAACTTGACTCTTCTGTAGTTACATCGTGTACTAAGACCAACGGAAAATGAAAAGTTGCGATTTTCTAGGCCGATATGGCTAGGAACTATACTCTCATTCCGGCGTAATG